AGAAACTTGAAGAAATTACATCAAATCATAATGATTTTGTCTTCGTTGCTCATTTTATAAATTGCTTCATTCATTTCACAATGGAAAACTGAGAGAACTGTGGTAATGTCAATTTTGGATGTGTGTTTGAGGTATCTAAAACATCAGAGTAATAAAAGATAACATGTAATTGGAAATAGACTTGAAATTCAGCTCTTATGTCCACATTGGATACATTCGTTAAATGCCATTGAATTGAAGTCCATTTTCCTTCTTCTCCGGGGGTCAAAATCTCAGATGGCTATTGAAATGTCTTAGACACTACCATCATTTGAACTTGCATGTTGTTGTTTGGGTCGCGGTGTCAACTCTGTCACAGAGCAGAACTCTTCCACAGGCTTTTCTTGGCGATAATCTTTAAGAAAGCAAATTGCCAGGCCTTGGCTTCCCTGATGCTGCTGGGTGGATTTGAACCTCCAACCTTTTGGTTATCAACTGAGAACAAACTGTTTGCACCATGCAGGACCTTTGCACTTATATAGGCTGATTTTAACAGCTGGGCGGGGTGCGGTGGGGGTGGTTTCTCTTTCCAGCTGTATACTTGAAGGACGAATTGTAGCCATTAATTGCATAGAAAAGGCTTTATTTAAACATACATTGTTTCATAAAGTTCTCCTTTTTTTTATACAAAGAGAACATTGCTTGCTTTTCCTAGAATCAGTATCACCTTTTTCCTGCTTAGCAGTTCCAAAGATCTACTCTGTTTATCCATTGTCAATAGATTTAAATCCCCAGGCAGATATTTAGCCTATTGACTTTTCATGGACCGTTGACAATTGTGATATATTCTAATTGGAGGATTTTGGTACATTAACCTCGTATGCTAGTGTACTAACTGTGCCAGTGGGTGTGTTTTGGCTTAAAGACTTTTTTTCCTGTGGGGGCGGGAGAGGATGGAAGGAGTGAGTACAGAGTGGTATTTAGAATAGAGGGTCGGTTTTCACTTTTACTAGAAAAAAATAGAAACATGTTTAAAGTGAGGAGTGGTGTAGCTTGAAGTGGTCCTTTCCTTATGGTGTAACTGTTACACTGTAACATGAGGGGTTCTTCTCCTTGTTTTCCCTGCCCTGAGGCCAGGGACCATTCAGGCCTTATCACTACCTGCAACATTCAGAATAAACCAAAACACTTGTGGTCTTTGAGGCAATTCTGACTCACAGCAACACAGTTCCACAGAGTAGAATTGCCCCCATTGGATCTCCTGGTCTGTAATCTATAGAGCATCCTGCCAAAATTTTCTCCCCAGGAGCAGCTGGTGGGTTTGAACCATTTGCTTTTCATTTTGCAGCTGAGTGTTTTGCCTCTGAGACATCCGGCTCCTCTTTACCTTTGAGTCTGGCATAGTTGCTTGTGCCCATCAGTCATCTAGTGTTTCTCAAAGTATCATAATGCTTAAAGGTTCTTTAACAGCCTTTGCAGACCAAAGGAATGGGTGTGGGAAGATATCCATTAATTTCTAGGTTATTGAATAGATTTTGGAGCTTTGGAGGCGATTCAAAGTGAGCAAATAAATAGGCAGGACCTTTGATGATGTATAAGGATAGCTGCCTGCCTGAAAGAGCCGCCCCACCAACTTCCCACAAACCGTACATTCACCACTCTACATGAGCTGTGCATATTAATCATGTTGGATTGAAGATGCACCCATTTCCCGATGATGCCCATTAATTGTTGGCACTAGTAGCAGGTGCTATACTAGAAGGTGGAATGTGGGAAGGTATAGGTCGTGTTTGTTCACGGATGTAAGCAAAGCTGGAACATATTATTGGTTGGCTTTCCACATCAGTCCCCTAGAAGGAACTCAAGGACAGGGCAGGGCAGCGGGGCCATGAAAATAAAGGCAACTGCTTTGTAGCCAGTGCTTCCTCTGTGAAAGCAATGGGATCAAGTGCTGTAAGTGACCAAAAAGGAGCATTGGTGGTGCCGTGGCTAAAGCATTTTCCTGCTAATCATGATGGAAGCTTTCATACAGAGGGCAGCCTGGGAAATGCTCTGGGCAGTTTGACTCTCTCCTGTGGGTTGGTCCTCTGTGAATTGGGATTCACTCAGTGCCAATGGGTTTGTTTCGAAGAGATTAAAAGAAAAGAAAAATATGTTTTGAACTTCTCATTCAGAGAGGTTGGCATCTGCCTGGGAGAGGATAGTAATTAAAACATTGGCTCTGTCAGCTAAGTGCAAGGTAGCTATCCTCTCCAATGCCTTCAGCAACCCTGAGAGGTAAGTTGAGTGACAGTCTTCTGTGTACAGAGCAGCAGACAGGCCTGAGGAGATCCAGAGACTTTGAAGCCTCAAATCTAGGCATGCTAACTTAACTCCGGTCCTTGCTTTTAAGCACTATGCTGTCCTGTATCTGAGGTCATCTTTATGTACACCCATTCCAGGGCCTCTGGAGAAAAGTGAAAGAAAAGTATAACTGTATGCTTGGCTGAAGGCAGCCCATCTGGGATGCCAGAGCCCTACCTCATTACCTGAAAGTTTGTAAAATGTGGAACAAAGATTCTTCTTGCTTTTTCTGACATGTTTGGCCTCAGGTAGCTTAGGTGTGGAGGAAGGGGCTTGTAACCCCAAACCCAAGTGTCTGTAATCAGAAACTAAATATTCTTACATTTGGACTAATTGTACCTAGGGAGCTTTGTTTTGATTTGTTCTAGAATCTTAGCTAAGACTATTTTCTTTTGGGCCCTGCTGCCTGAACCATGGGTCGCTAAGCAAAGTTATGTGGTGGCCTTTGGCCCCATTAAAGGGTGCTGAATTGGTGGTCTGGATCCTTGGCTGAAATCTAATATTAAAATAACCTTACACTGAAGTCCTAGGCAATGCATATGATCAGAATACTCGAGACCTGGGGGGTAGGGGTTGGGGGAATACATTTCAGTTGGCTTCACTTCACTCACTTGTGGCTCTCCTTTCACCCTTGAATGATGTTTGACCCACACCTCCATTTATCGAAGATGTGAAAACATAGGATTCCTAATCCTATTTAGGGATATTTTTAGAAGCTGTCAGAGCTGGTTACACTGCAGCACTGTTTTCACTCAAAGAAAGCTCAGTGACAAATGTTGCTTATGAATTTGAGTTTTGCAAAGTTCAGGTACTACTCAGATGTCATCTTATTTTAACTTTAGCCACACTGTTTGAACTTCTATGAATCTTTGCTTTGTCATTTTGGGCCATTTTTGAAGCCTGACCCAGCGACCTTGTGTGTGCAGAGCAACTGTTGATTCACTGGGGTCGTGGCATTTTCTGCATTATATGCTGTGGCCCTTTCCCACCTGGCTTCTCAGCAGTGGTGAGCCAGCAACCTTCAGCAAATGTGACCATAACTCCATAGTTTCCGCTTATTGACAGGCTCATTCTGCAAGGGTCTTTTGGAAGCTTCCTGTGTGCTCAAGCAGAACCAAAACTAGGGTGAGAGTGAATGGCTCCTTCTAGTCCACATCCTTAAGCTCCTCACTTGCCTCACCCTAGCCCTGGCCCTGTGTTCAAACACCATGCCGGACACTGGGGTTGCCGAGATGATTGAAACACAGTCCTTACCCGCAACACCGACAGTCCAGTGGGAAACACATAAATTCAACAGTGGGAGTTGTTTTTGTTGTCACAAATTATAGTAAGTTAAGCCATGTGAGAATGGCATGTTAGCAGAAGAGACGTCCTTGGAGAACGAACTTCATGCTTGGTCATGAGAGTCAGTGCAAGAAGAGGAAGGTCCTCAGTGAGATGGATGATGACACAATGGCTGCAGCAGTGGCCTCGAACATAACAATTGATTGCAAGGGTGGCGCCAGTCTTGACAGTATTTTGTCCTGTAGTACATTGCTATTGGGTCAGAGCCACACCAACTCCACAGTGCCCCATGACAACGTAGTTTTCCCTGTTCTCTGTTTCTGACTACCTAATAAACTCAAACGTGAAAGAAAAGCTTGGACATATTTTATTTAAAATATTATAAACTTGGCCTATATAAATAAACATATCCATACTCACACACAAGGGTGCTATAAGAAAGATGGAAAAATGAAATGAAAAAATAAAGGAATTTTTCCACTAGCTTTTAAAAATCTAACGACAGTTAGTCCTCTGTCAAACTCTCAGAATTAGCCTAGGGTAACATTCCCTAAACGCTGTTGGTGAGCAGCTGTCTACAAGAGGGAAACTTTTGATTTGTCTTCACTAAATGATGGTAATAATAAACACAGGGGTAACGCCATGTGGCCCTAAGTGGACTTACCATCTCATTGCTTTCGAAGTGACTCCTTCACGTCAAATCAAGTCGTTAAG